TCTCTCTCTCTCTCCCTCTCCCCATCTTTCTCTCTCCAACTTTCTCTGTCTTTTTTTGTCTTTCTCTCTCTCGTTCTCTCTCTCTGATATTGATTTCAGCCCTTCGTGGCTTTTATTTATTTCTTTTACTTGCTGCTTCTGTGTTGCTCTGAAGGCCAGTATCGAGTTCTGGATTTGCCCAAGTCCCTAGCTCAGTTCTGTACGGACTTTGGAAATACGGGGTGCCCGATTTGTCGCACAAACGATTATTTTGCTGACTTTGTATAATGGTAGACGGGAGTCCTGGTCTGGTTTGTCTCTTCTCGTGTCAACTCGACGCGCCAAATTTGATTATTGGCAGATAAATGTGTTTGTTTTTCTTGGTTGAAATTGGATTTGACCTTTTATCGGCTGTGGGTGGTTTGAGAGTGCAACTAGAAGGACTTACTTCTATTCTTCCCTCTGTTATTTCAGTCTGTCTTACTCGTTTCCCACACTAGATAACCGTTGTAGTGTAGATGTGTTTCTCTTTTCTTAAATATAACCCCCAAAAAACAAAAAGCAAATCTTCAACGGCCAGCGCTGTCGAAAAAAGTACACGATAACGAAAACTCGCGTGCTCTTGGTTCTTACTTTCAGATCAACTTGTTTTGCCGTCTCTACTCAACAGAGAAGCAATACATTATAGAACATTTGCCTCTGATGTTTGATGTGCACTTGTTGTCCGATGATAACGGCCAAAAACACGGCGAATAACCGACGACTTGTGATTAACCAAGGGGTTTGTTTACTAAAATTGCAAGGAGGCTCAACGTTTTAAAAAAACAACCAAATATCCTTTTAAGAAATCTGTATGCGTTTACAAATCTCAGTGGTAGGTTGGTGGGTTCTCTGGTGTGGTTTGCTCCTTGTATACTATCAAACATTAATCGTCCTGATTCCTTATCGCCCCTCCGTTTTGCTGTTGTTAGTCTCTTGTAACACCATTAATTTTTGATACTCATATGACTATATTGTGTTGCAAGTACCGTTGTACATGTACTCTTATTAAAACAATCGAAGGATTTGATTGTATTCCGATCGTGCAGACCCGACTGGTCGAATAAGTGCCAACCGTGCTTGTGGATTCGACAAGATGCAGAGAGAAAGAGAGAGAGAGAGAGTGAGAGAGAGAAAGAGAGAGAGAGAGAGAGAGGGAGAGAGAGAGAGAGAGAGAGAGAGAGAGAGAGAGAGAGAGAGAGAGAGAGAGAGAGAGAGAGTAAATTGTTTGAGGCAGGGAAGATCACGTCTCAAGCGAGTTGACCCCTCTGGGATATTATGTGTAATGAGGTCATCGGTGTGGCATGCAAGGGGAACCGGTGTTTGTTTGTAGTGTAACGGTTCTTCATTATTCCACGTTGAGGACGTTTGACTTCACAACAATAGTAGCCGTCAC